GACAACGAGTGGGTAGAGAGCATCTGCGTTGAACGATAAAGACCGGCGACGCCAAAATGAGTGCGGGTTTTGAAAACGAAGAATTGCGTTTTTTAAGTGCTGAGAAAATGGAATTCCAAAAAAGTACAGGCAACTACTTTTATAATCTTGAGAAAGTTATAAACGGTCCAAGCTGGGGCGAAAACTAAAAACACCATATTATAAAGACAAAGACAGTTTTAGTTTTACTAGGAGAAAGGGCAAATTGTGTATGAGGGGATGAGGGGGAGGGGGGGTTGAGATTAGACTGATTTAAAAATAGATCGATTTATAAGAGAGAGAGAGAGAGAGAGAGAGAGAGAGAGAGAGAGAGAGAGAGAGAGAGAGAGAGAGAGAGAGAGAGAGAGGACAGACAGACAAACAGACATACAGAGAGTGGAACGTTCAGGGAGAATTTTACCTGAATTTGAGTCCATAGTTCCAGGCCATAGATATCTACTCGATACCGAATCCTAAAGGAAAAACAAAACCCCACAAGCCTCTCCTCCCAAAAAAAGACCACCCCCCTAATAAACAACAAACAACAAACCCAACAACAACAACAACAACAACAACAACGCAAAACGAACAAAAAGAAAACAAACGAAAAACAAAAAAACAAAACCCTATCCTCAACAACCCCCCCCCACCCAACAAGACAAAGCAACCCCCCTCCAACCACCCAACAAGACAAAACAACCCCTTCCCCCCAAAAAAACAACAACAACCCATCAACAACAACAAAACCAACCTACCCCTCCCCTAAAAAACCCCCAAACAAAACAAACAAACAAAAAAGAAAAAAAACATAAACTAAAACAATTCCCGCTTGTTGCATGCAGCCATTATGATGCTCACCTGAATGTCTTCAAACGAGTGTGACATCATAGCGATGAGCATGTTGATGAGAACGATGATGATGACGACATGATAGATGCCGAAGAGGTACATGCCCACCGTCTCCACTAGGGAGGTGCTGTTCTCCATCTGAGGGTTCTCGGGCATGTACAGGGGCAGCGCCGAGTTGTCTATGGAGATGGGGGG